GGAACGAATTTACGGAAAATTAATTAACGAACGGAGACGTAACAATATTAAATTAGTGTAGTTTCTGGCCAGGTGAAAAACTATATATATATATATAATCAAGTTAGCCTGGTAAAATGTACTAATTTATTACATGAAACGAGAATAAATTAGATATGAAGAACTGAATATAGAAACGCCAATATGTAAACCTTTTTGTTGTTGTTTAAACATATTCCTTACTTAACGCTTTATGCTCATTAGCTGTACGACCGTTTCCCGCTGCGGTCTGGTGTCAGTTATCTTCCAACGTCTTAAGTGGTAATTACGTAAAATAAATATGGCAGACCGCCTGTGCTTCACAATAACCAAGCCATTATCACATACAAGTCTACTCTTATTTGGATATGTACTGATCGCAGGTACAGCGCCAATTCCAAACTCACCTTCTACAGAAATGGTAAGAGAAATAACGTATTTTATTGAAACTTTACAAAATATTACCTTCTAAGCATCTTGTTTTACTACCAAAAAACTTAAAATGTTTATATTAAAGCTTAATGAGAGTGAATTGTGGCCTATGCACACGTCTCAAGTTGCTTTCATAGAAAAAATAAATAAATACGCTATAGTTTAACATAGGTGTCACTGCCACTTTCGTTGAGCTGAACATTTAACAAAAATAAATTACTTTTCTCAAATTTAAAGTTTTGCCAAAACTGTGGAGAAACTCTAGAGGAAACAGCTAAGCCTCAGCTTATTCTAAGACAGACCTTGAGATTTAAAATTTAATTTTTTGGTTTAATTCATTTAATATAAATATAACGAACTCAGTTTGAACTTTGTGAAATGTCGAAAAAATATTTTTAGGTTTTATATGAATGCTTTATGTGTACAACACACATATTTTTTATAACGTAAAGTTAACTCACAGTAATTAACTGTTAGAGACAGAAAGAACGAATGCCTTTTTTTTCTTTTCTTTTTTTTAAATAGGAAACTTTATTATAAAATAATAGCACTTGCACCAAATCCAGTTAAATTTTCAGATACTCTTGATACTAGAAGAAGACAGTAACAGTACAATGTGTTCATTTTGACGCCGTCCCCAACAGGCTGCCTCAATTACTATTTGACCCAGTGTGTAGCACGTGACTCAAGTTTTGGACGTATCTCTCATACAGTTTTAAAGGTCACTTCGAAATCAAGAGAAAAAAAAACGTATATCAAGTGAATAATTTATTACGATCGTTAATTTTAATTCTATTTTACGACGTAGCTACATTAAAGTTAGAAAATTTACAACGTCCGTAAATCATTATTTTGGGGCTATTTTGTGACAATGTATAAAACTACGAATTAAGTAAAGGTATATATATACTTAATATGATTATCTGTTATATAAATTACAAAGCAATTAAAATTAAAATTTTGACTTCAAAAAACTTAAAATAAAGACGACACAATCACTTCAAATTAAAATTCGCCCTCAAACATATTTCATAACTCAGGAAATTTCAACATCATTTTAAAATAATATTTCCAAATAGTGAAACATTATTTGGACTATTTTATCTTACCCCTAACGACATTAATTACAATTAAAGGATTTCAAGAAAAAATCGTAAAAATAATATAAGATGCTTCATGCATTCCATTGACGAAGAACGTGAAAACATTCATAAGGTCATAAATCATAATTAAATAACTATACTAGAACCTTAATGACGTAGAAACTTATGTGAAACAACTCTTTTTAACCACCTTAATACATCTCTTACAAGTGTTTTAGAAGTATTTCATATAGTTGTTGTATAATAAATAGCTTTCTTAATATGGAAACAATTTAAGATGTCATATAATTCTTTCAAAGATTCTAAAAATAATTTTAGTAGCTAGTTTGAAGAAGTGAGCACTGACAGTGTAAATAACTAATTAGCAAAATTTAAATTCCTAGTGGTGTAATTTAGATGTTTTAAAAATCGATTTCACCTTTACTTGACATCGGGAATCACCTTCTCATAGCAGACATATAGAGAGCACCTAAAAACATCATGTAATTCATTTTATAACACAAATTACAACTTTGAAATATCTTTCTTATCATTTTTTATCATAACATTTCTATGGCATTTCTTTATATTACCTTAACCTCACTTTCTTTGTTTTTTATCAGGTTAAATTTATGAAGCAGTTCGGTTACTTGATTGATGCAGGACCAAATACAGATGCTCTCTACACTGAAGAAGGTTTTAAAGAAGCTATTAAAAATATGCAACGGTTTGGCGGATTGCCGGAAACTGGTGTAATTGACGAAGCTACACAAAAGTTGATGACAGTGCCACGTTGTGGTGTTCCCGATGTAATACGAAAAATCCCCACTAACCATAACATCAGGGAAAAGCGCTATGTGATTGGCGCGGAGGGATGGAGGAAGAGAACAATAACTTATTTGTAAGTATGAACTCAATCAAAATGTTATTTTTTTATGTGAATGGTATGACTACTTCCAAAACTTAAATAGAATACTACAGTAAGATACGACAAAATGAAACCCAGAGATGGAATATACAGTGAGTATTTGAAATATATCTGCGACATGGGCTAAACGGCCAAGCCAGAGACCCCTAAAATTCAGACATAACTATCACTAGTTTAAAAAACTGACCAGAGAGAGAACAGCTAGTCAATAGCACCCGCCACCTAGGAGGCTACTTCTAACAGAACAGCGGTATTGAATATCGTTATTACGATGCCTTTACAGCTGGAAGTAGAGAGCATGTTCAGCGACATATTGCGGCTCGAACTTTGAATCCTCTTATCCACAGGTCGACACGCTAACCACTAAGCCACGCCAAACCCTACGGTTCTCAGGAGAAATAAAAGAAAATTAAATATTAACATATCTTAAACTTGGGATATTCCTGTAACTTTATCTGAACAACGTTTAAATGTATGATAGTGTCAGGAAAATATTGCACTGGTGAATTCCTTCCATTAGGATGTTGGAAAATACCATGGACAAGTCATAACTGAAATATAAGTTTTAATATCTTTGGAACTACATGCTAATTATGGGTGGTTAATAAAAATATCCTCACAATGTTGCTCTAGTGAAGGGTTTTTAGAGCATCCCTGTTAGTTGTGAGGGGTTGATAAAACACTAAACTATATTTTTAGTGTCACTGCATGATACCTTCAAATCAATAATAAGTTGAAGAAGTCTGTTCAGTGCTTTTAGGCCTAGTTTACATAAATAAGTTAATGGACAGCCTCGACTTGCCAGATCAGATTTAGTTTAGTTTCTAAATGATCATTAATCAATGCCCAGAAATAATAACACAAAACTATTTAACAATAATGAAACACATTATATTTACAAACTCAAAAGTATGTCTTTATTATAATTCACAACGAGATGATGATTTAAACCAGAGAAAACTATATATTGTCACTGTACGTTACAAACTTTGGTGAAGTACTAAATATCAGTTATTTTAAAATGTTCACATCTGAAGTTTTCCTTCGAATTACAGTTTCAAAATGAGTCATATTTGTTACAAATGTCTTAGGGATATGTTGAAATATATTTTAACCAAAAAATGTAACACATACGTTTTGTGAATTAGTAGAAGTTCTAATATCAAGTGTCTTTTTCCATGGGTGTGATACGCGTAGAAAATTCACAAGTTTTTTGTTTTTCCTTAAAGGAGAAGCGACAACAAGCGTTTTATTCTAATACACGTTCAAAGCCGTTTATTAACAAGCTGATATTGCTTCCAGATGTTTGAAATACTAAACATATGCGCGAGTCTTCTGAGAAGCATTTATGAATGAGAAAGATCAAGTGACTCGATTTATGTAGTAAAATGTACATTAAGGATTCATAAACATATTTTTATTGCAAAAGAACGCGTGTTCCATTGGTAGCATAACATATATTAGGTTGCGCTCCAGTTCGTGACGTACAAATGTCCATAGCTGACCCATTCAACCATTCTTCAGTGTATTAGTTTAGTAATGAGGAGAAGCTGTATTGTAGAGCAGCTGTATACATATTGTTGCGTCATCGAGATCACATGACTA